GAGAAAACAGACACTCAGAGACTTTATATGACTTGCCATGTTCTCATATTTATTTACATAGGTGTCTACAATATCTGGAACTTCCTTCAATAGCTTATTTTAAAGATTGACTCAATATTGAGAATCTGACTTTGTGACATAACTGGTGTGGATGTCCAATATAAACATCAATTTCCTCTTTCTTCTTTCAGTCTTTAGCTATTTTCTAAAATTTTCTTCAGTTCACACTTAGTAAGTTCATCTATTTTCTTATGCACATATGAGGTATTGACTAAACACTTTTATTTTCATGTGTATTTTTACAGCCATGATGGAATTCCTTTGATTTTTATGGTCAATTATATCCCTGATTACTATGCATCTGCACCTAACCTTGGCCACAGTTTTTTTGTTTTTTGTTTGCTTTATTTAATATTTTTAGTAATTAGTTTTAGCAAAGCAACTGAGGCTTTGAGGGGTTAATTTAAGCAAGGTTATTTAACCAGTAATTTATCTAGAATTGTCAGAAAAATCTACTAACATCATCCAGAAAATGCATTTCACTTAACCACAAATAAGGCCAGACTTCACTTGTCTAAAACAAACAAAATAACATTGTAATCAGATAATCTCTGACTTAACTTTTAGCTAATTGCTTGACCTAGCTAATCTCTGAATATCAGCTTCCTCCTCTGTTAAACAGTATCTATACTTGAACTACTTGTGTCATATTTTGCCAATATAGAATGACGAGTGTATAAAAATGCTTTATTAACTTATACTCTGCCAGACTATAAAGCCACAAAGCATGGTCATATATTTATTTCTGTAATTCTGGCACTTAGCTCAGTGTCTGGCCCATAGGAAACGCTTAATAACTATTTGTAAAGTGAAATTGAAATGAAGTCTATAATACTATATATTTGCAAGACAATAATATTCTTTTTTTCTACATAGTCTTAGGCCAGATGACAGCGAAAAACAGCCACAGGGCTCCTTTTAGCTCTCTACCAATTTCTAAAATAAAAATAAACATAAAAATACAGTGTTTTTCTATTTCCCCAATTCAGGAAATTTGAGAATTTCTGTTTAAGGTGCTGCTGTGATGAGTTAGAAAACAGCATATTTCAATGTTTGCTATGCTGGTTAAAAGACCTGGATTTTGATGTTGGCCCAATCAATGACTTACTGTATAAATTCCTAAGATCTGCTCTGCTCTCTTGTTCTCCATTTCCTCATTTCCTCCCATCTACTCCCAAAATGACAATAACAATGATAAATTGTCCTTGTGCCAGAATCTGAGATAACTCTTCACTGGCTTTATCATCCCTTTTAATTCTTGTATCAACTCCATGGGTATGGTGGAATTTTTATGCCCCTTCTATACAGAAGGATACTGAAACCAAGATGTGCTAGGACTACTCAGCCAGTTAATTTCATCCCAAGTCTGTCTGATTCAATCCTCTCAACCAAAAAACTCCCTGGACTCCCTAAACCTGCTGCAGTCACCATCAACACTCCCCCAGATATATATGGAGGCAAAGAGAAAAGTTAACATGAATATAATCAAAGAATAATAAATAGTAACATGGATGGTAATAATTAACACTTATTAAATACTTTCTATGGCCTTTGGATGTATTGTCCCCATCATTTAATCAATTTAACAAAAGTTATGCAATCATAAAGTTACATAACTAAAATATCATTTATTTAATATTCTAAAGCTAATGCTTGTAATTAAAGCACTAAGCTGTAATCCAAAGTTTCATAAACAGAAAAAACAATCCTGAAGATAGTGTGCTCTTATGTTAGTGGAAAGTTTTATTTTCGTAACTATAGTCTCCTGGTAAGACTATTTTTTCAAAAACTCTAAAGATATGTGAGATGAAAGCAGGCAAGGGATTTAACCCTTCTGAAAAAATAGACACTTGGAAGCAATAGAGTACTGACCTGTGACCTAGCTATATCTACATAGTCTACATGGGCAACACATAATAGAAAGTTGAGCTTTTGCCAAAAGAAAGAGAATCTTCTCTCAGATTCTATTCCAGAGCTTGCATGTGGGCCAGCCTGGGTCATAGAGGAAATAGGGTGTCACATGTAAAGGACAATTAGAGGGGTGTCAAAAAGTACCTCTACTTCTACCAGCACTGGCCTTTGCAGATATGACATCCTTATGTACCTACCAAACAACCACTGAGAATCATTTCAAACATTTTGAACAAACCAACTAGTCCAAATCCTGCCTCCATCATTTACTAGCAATGTGAGCTTGAACAGGTTACTCTACACCTTAGCTTCCTAATTTGTAAAATGACAAAAATAATAGTGTCTCCTTTATAGGAATGGTTTTAGGATTGAATGAATTAATACACGTAAACCACTTAGAAGAGGAACAGTTCATAGCATCCAGTAACTGCTAGATGTAATTGTTCTTATATGTCAGTTTATCTTTATCCCTCTGGAATATTCTTTGCAAAGTAAAGATTCCCTTCACAAGTGTTAAGTGATGTGTGCGCATGATTATTCTTTCAGTGTTATGAACAGCTGGAAAAATATAAATTATATAATTTAATGTCATGAATTATGGTATTTTATAACATGGAATGCTAACCAGCTATAACAAATAGTTATGAAACTTTTTATGACCTATGAAAATACCCCCAAGATATGGAATAAAATAAAAAGTATGCAGAATTGTGTTATATTATGATGTCATTGATTGAAAGCAAAGGAGAGGATAATGTAATAATATTTATACCTAAAATTTGTACCTAATGTACCTAATATTTTTATATATGCATAAAAGATCTCTGGCAACTAATAAACTAAAAGTTCAAAAATGACTTCTAGTTGGAAAGTGGGTATTGGGCAGATGGAGGATAGGGGTGGGAGAATGACTCATCCTGTATTTTTGGCTTCTTAAATATTTTAAACCAAATCTCTCTTTTGATTAACCAACTCTGTTTTATTAAACTTTATTTTTATCATCAGAATTACTATTTCTTTATCATCAACATTTTATGCATGTAAGGGGGACTCTGTAAAGTTTTTTTTTTTTTTATCCTCATCCGAGGACATTTTTCCAATTTTTGTACAGATAGAGTGGAAGGGAGAGAGAGAGAGAGAGAAACATCGACGTGAAAGGGACACATCGAGTGGCTGCCACCCGCACGACCAACCAGGGCCGGGGACTAACTGCAACCGAAGTACACGCCCTTAGCGGGAACCGAACCCGCGTCTCTCCGGACCGCAGGCCGACGCTCTAACCGCTGAGCCAAACCGGCCAGGGCGGGACCCTGTAAAGTTTTAACTGAAGAAAACTGAAAGAAAAATATCAAGAGAAGAGGTGTTACGAAGCAATTGCTAAAAAACACACTTCATAGTTTTTTAAAGGTAAGTAGGCTCACCTAAATTTTGAATAATAGTCTGTCTTTCTCTGGTCCATCTCTCTGTGGTTTGATGGCTTAGATTGCCCATAATCCTAGATTTCTATAAACAGGAAGATGTGTTTTTCTCAACTTCAGATTGTATAGTTGGTTGTTTGAGTGGTAGAGATCAGTCCTTCTAGGCCTCTAGCTACTTAGTTTAGACCTTTCAAATCTTCTGGCAGGATAAGTTAAAATATAAGATGCATATATTCTCTTGACAGGCCAGTCTGTGTTTTGCTGACTGCTTACAGGACTTAGAATTCAAGAAATAGACGACAGTGAAGAAAATATTTGACAACTGACAACAGAACACAATGTCTAATAAGACTCACAAGCTTTATTTCTGCTAGAAAAAAGGAAGGAAAAAGTCTTTTTTTTTTTTACAAAATGTTTAAACAATTACTTTGCTTTATCTGATAAAGTTCCCAGAAGATTGAGACCAACCTGGGTTGGAGAGTAGGCTCTTCACAACCATACTACATTCCCAAATGTCCATTCAGTTATAAAGTCTCTCTGAGCAATTCCAGGGGTGCCTGGTTCATGAGAACCGTACACCCCCAAAGCATAAACAACTGATTCCCTCAAAATAACTGGTTCGTCTTAGAATGAAGAAAATAAAAATCTAAAAATATTAACTTGCATAGCCATTCAAATTATTGCTGCTTTTGATAAAATCATTGCAGGTAATTTTGCACTAACTTCCTCCTTTTCTCTCAACCCAAACTCAGAAATTCCCAGCAAAATTATGAGCTACTTTCCAAATGAAGCCTTGGGAAGTTTTTGCAAGCACATGTGTGGAACCCAAGGAATTTGCATGAAAGGAAGAGGAAATAAATTAAATAAATAATATCTAATAAATAACTCAGACAACATTCATTATCTACAAACTTAAATGCCAGAAAATGCTAACTTCAACTATAGGTCCCCCACCCCCACCCCACCACCACCTCTCATAAAGGTAAGTGCTAATATAGACTCAAAACACATAGGATGGCTTTGGATGCTTTCAAGTGGATTTATCAACCAAGGGTATAAAATCTAGCAGTGTTGTTGCTGCCAGCAAAATGGAAAGAAAATAACTTAGACAGAAGGGAGATGATAAATAAGAGGGTAAAAATGGCAAGATACACAGACAATTTGACAGGTTTTAGGGGATGGCTGAGCCATAGAAAATGACATACTAATCTGCCTTGTCACTTTATTCATTGGCCCTAAATGTGTACTGTGCATCCTAAACTTATCCTCTCTGGCAGGAGCAGAATGTAATCTGCTTCTGGTTTGTTTTAAATAATTATCCTGAAAGATTGGCCAGGACAGTAACATTTCTCAGATCACATTTCTCTGGAAAAAGATACATTTGACAAAATTAGTAGTGATATGAAGGAAAAAGGAGTTACATGAAGAAAAATAAATATCCTGTGAATTGGGATAAACCTGTGATGAAGACATAGATTAGTAAAAGCATTCACTGACCTTGGATTTAATGTCTGCATCCCTAAATCTAGTTACTCAAAATGTTACCTACAATATGTAATGATATATTATATTTTAGAAGTGAGGAAGAGGTAACAATTAGTGTGGGGGGGGGGAAGATACAGAAATATACATATTTTGGAAAATTCAAGTTTGGTCAATATGATATTGGTGTGGACAGAGGTCAGTAATTTTAAACATGTTTTCTTTAATTAGAAAAAAATTCATCTTGCCAAAGAATCTAGTGATTTCCCTATGGGCAGGTGTGAGCTAGAAAGAGTACCAGAACTATGATATAGCTATAGTTAGTATAGTCAATAGCCATTTTATTGCTCTTGAATGTGACCTGTGTTGTTTGCTGATTCCAATAACAGCACCTGAGCTTCATCAGAATTTCCAGAGCCCTCTGGTTATAAAGACCATGAAATGGTCTAGATGACTTTTCTAAGTCCCATTGGTCATAAGAGTCTGAGGTTTCAGTGACTTGATTGCCCCATCTCTACTACTAATAAAAGTGCTTTTGAAATGTTATCAAGAATCAAACTGGTATGAGATATCTATTATTGTTCTCAAGTTACTAAGGAAGTTATGTTCAGCTTTCAGCCCAACAAGAAATAGAGTTAATCTCTTAAAGAACATACTTTGTTATTCACAGTGACAAACTTAGAATTTGAATTTAGAACTTATAATTTGAGCCTCTGGCGGCTATTTCTAGATAGGTGCAAAGAAATCCAATCATTAAGTCCCCGACAGTCATGCACCTGGTGCTCCTTTGGCAACTCCATTTGATCGTTGACATATAGTCCCTATTTTCTACTATTCCTCTGTACTTTCAGTTTCAAGAAGTTTATAGAAGTGGTCACCAAAGTTATAGAATTTCAAAACTATGAAGGACTTTAGAAATCATCTAGACTTAGAACAATTGCCTGATTTTACTAGTAAGTAAAAAGAGGTCAGAAATGGAAAATTAATTAACATTTATCATTAAATAAGTTATTGGTACCACCAGAATAGGACTTAGGACTTCTGTTCCATTTCCACATGATTATAAAAAGTCAAATAATTGCACATGAGGACCCTAAATTAAAGAATTAATACAATCTGATGAGATGTTGATGAGCAAAGAGAGTGACAGGTATAAGAGGTTCTAAATGAACTGGGACTAATGTATATCTATAAGGTTCCTTTAAGGTCATTGAATCTTCAGCTCAACCATTTGAATTACAGAAAACATCTCCACATCATCCTCTGAAATGTTGATCTTACTGTTCTAATCAGTGAAGATTGTATTGAGTTGAGCCCCAATGCCATGGTGAGGGTAGGAATCATAGGACATATCTATGGGAATATCATAGCGAGGGGTACCAGCCTGGAAGGGAGTTGAATGCACATGCCCTGAGTTTAGACTTGCAGAGGGGTAATGTGGCATGAAGCTGTAGGATTTATCCAGATCAGGAGAGCCATCTTGCTTCAAGGAGAAGTTCCCACTGATGCTCAGGGGTGGAGTAAGTGGGCCCTCATAAGGTGGTGTACTGCAGTCAGGTGGATGACTCCCAAAGGATGATTCTCCCAAACTCTTGAATACTGGGGGTTTGAGATTAATAAGATGTGTTTCCATATGGCCATAAGGAGGGCTGGGGAGACCAGGAGACTGATAGTTGAAGTTATGGACAGAGATGGCAGAGTCACAAACAGGAGATTTCTCCTCCTGCTTCTCCACAAGGACAGACTGAGGGCCCAGTTGGAGGCATCCAGCCACCAGATTGCTTGTGGGCTGAGAGAGCCCTTTACAGAGCATCTCCACAAAGCCTTTCCCTTCAGGTGTCTGGCCAGTTTCCAGGACCTCAGACAAAGCCCAAATATAGTTCCTGGCCAGTCTAAGCGTTTCTATCTTGGAGAGCTTTTGCGTTTTAGAGTAACATGGCATGACTCTCCTCAGGTTGTCCAAGGCATCGTTCAGTCCATGCATCCGGGTCCGTTCTCTAGCATTGGCCTTGACTCTTCGAGCCTTAAACCTCTCCAGGCGAGCTTTCGTCATCTTCTTTTTCTTGGGACCCCTTCTCTTAGGCTTCTCCCCATCCTCTTCCTCCTCCTCTTCTTCTTCCTCAATACTGTCATGCTCTTCAGCTAAGCCACCAAGCATCCCATAAGCAGCTGGTCTTCTCTCCTCCTCCTTCATCTCAGCCTGAGAACCCAGACCTTTGTCCATCCAGGATGGTGTGTTGACCAACTCTGTAATCTCCTTGGGTTTCACATATGTTTTTGCCATTTCTAGATTCTGGAAAAGAAACAGGAAAGTTTAGCACTTCTGAACATTTGATCTGATTTAAAACTAAACTTGTTTTTATACCTTGGAGATAAAGTGCACTATGTGTATTGGGATTCAACTTACAATGATCCAGTCCAATTCCTCAGTTCTAAATAACTAATATAAGGCTCAAATAAATGCCTAGGACACTCATTTTGCTATGGCATATTATAAGAAAATAGACTAGAAAAAGGAAATTGACTTGGTTATTCATTACAGTATCAATGCCTAACTCTTTATTCTCAGGTTTTTTATCTCATGGATATTTTATGAAAAAATAATTGGTAAACCAATCAAAATATAGTTTTCTTTCTTCCCAAAATTCAGATCATAAAGGTAAATAGATACAGTAGGCATGTAAATTATTGTCCAAATAAACTTCTATAAGTGAAAAAAGATGCTAAAGTAGTTATAATTATATATGTATATAATTATAATTATTGCAAACTTTTAAAAGCATATTAAACAATAAAATAAGAAATCATTGCATATTTACACAATAAAGTAAATAAAAAACTGTAGTGAGATTATTCAGACTACTTTGTATGTGTTCTACAAAGGACTGCCCAGCCTCTATTTAGAGACATAGCACATATCTCTAACATTACACCATCCCACATTTCTCACTGGCTCTGCCAACTGTTGACTTCAAGCATCTCCTAGGAAAGAGCCATGCCACAGCTGGCTGGTATGCCACATAACCATGTAATTCTGCAGTTCTCAACCTGTGGGTCGCGACCCCTTTGGGAGTCGAAAGACCTTTGCACAGGGGTCACCTAAGACCATTGGAAAACACATATTTCCAATGGTGATTCATGACAGTAGCAAAAGTACAGTTATGAAGTAGCAACAAAAATAATTTTATGGTTAAGGGTCACCACAACATGAGGAACTGTATTAAAGTGTCGCGACATTAGGAAGGTTGAGAGCCACTGATGTTCTTTTACCATCACCAGAAGAGCATTTTGTTTTTCAGCAAGCATTTTGTGGTCTGTCTAGTGTTAGTAGTAGAGGTGTTAATGATATGGTATTGAAAAAGGATCAGGAAGAGAGAGGAGGGTTACCACTGATCATCTTTTAAATTTGTCCATATGTTAAAGTGAGAACTCTTTTCATTGCACATGTATCTCACACCATCAGAAAAGAATATGGTGTCATCTAGAATTACAAGCCAAAGGTCTACCAAACTTATTTAAGGTTATCTTAACGCAACTGTTATAATGATATGTCATTAAAAATGAAAAATCTGGGAAAAAAATGAAAAATCTGGAACAAATGCTAAACTTAACAAAATATAGTTACTGAAAACATAAGTGAGGACTATTTCAGACAGACACAGAAATAGCCTGACTGCTTTAATTCACTTAACAAATACTGTTTAATCAGAATTTTCTACGAAAAAATTTACAATTTGGAAACCAGCAAAGACTGGTGGCTTAGTAAACATTTTACATTCAGTTCTGGAATATCTGAATTGCTTCAAATTTGTTGAGTGATTTCTGGGTATATAATTTACCAAATAAAAGTATCTGATAAGCTTCAATAGGTCACCCCAGTTTACCAGCCAGTCTTTGAAATGTTAAACCCTGCATCACCTCCATTTATCAGAAAGAAGAGAGCATAATAAATGGTTTTTGATCTTTGAAGCTTGAGCCTCAAATAAATGAATGCAGGGATTAGTACATAGCTTTTAAAAATATAAATATATGATTTGATTTGTTTCTGGTAATCTGAGCTTGTTTTCCTTGTAACCTCATTTACCTCCTATAAATAATTAATGTTACTGCATTGCAAAAACAGCCTAGGTTTCATGTTAATCAGCACGGAAATCATGTCAGCTTGACTTACTCACTTAATAAGGCTTTCTGGGTAAGCAGCTTTATTGAAAACACACGTTAGAACCTATTGGTCAACTGGCTGCCCAGACCAAGTCAGAAAATCCCACTTTTAATATGGATGATAGAGCTTGTGTGCTGAGCTGCACTTCTAACTCAGGCAGCTACCCAGAGGGAGGATGAAGGATCTAATTAACTTTATGTTAAAGTAACACAGACCTTTCAATGGCAGGTGCACTCTGAGGTCAGTGAGGACGGAGTGGGCTTGGGAAACCTAATGTTCCACATGTAATTATAATTACATTTGCATAGCCTTATAGCAAACCTTTGAGGGAAATAGGATTGTTATGCTCATTTTATAGTTGACATCACTGTGGGTCAGGTATATTCAGCAATGAAAATGCAAAGACATAGAGCTGGTAGAGTAGGACATAAAACCAGTTCTGATTCCAAATCCTAGGTTTTATGTTTTTGTTTCTTTCTTTTTCCACCACAGCTACAGGAAGAAAGAAAGGTACTTTGACTTCCGGAAATGTGGATCAGTAAAGCTAAGTCACCAGAAAGTAGCCATCAACCAAAGGGAGGCTGGTTTGGGAGTCTCTGCAGTGTCTTGTAGCTCTCATATTCCAGGATTCCTTCCCCTTCCAATTTTTTGTTGTTGTTGTTGCTTTCACCCATTTCTTCCCCATCCTTCTCATACTGTCTGCCTCATTTTTCTCTTTCTCTCATGTCTTTTTTATCATCATCAGTATCATTAAGAAACTTACATGCACGGAGAGGTGAGAAGGAAGATGCAAGAGAAGAGAGTCTACTGAATTGTCCCTGAAACTGAACCCCATACTAACCTCTGTATTTGACCATTCTCATCATCCTCACCTCCCTACCTCTGGACTAGCCACATTCTGCCAATCCTCACCCCCATCAAGTCATGGGGCCAGGAGAAGAGAGTAGACTACCTTTTACCTTTAACATAATTTGATAGTTTCCCTAAGAGTCAAAGAGCTGCTTTCAAATCAGATTGTTGGCAGGTATGACAAAAAAAAAAAAAAAACATCAACTGACTTCGGCTGAAACTATTAAAAAGGCAACCAAGTTTTGTCTTTGTTCTCTTACTAACTATGGGAAAAATATAGATGATTCCAGTTTGACTTTAAGATATATTTTTTGCATGATTCTAGCAAAACAAATAAAAATATGGAAAATGATTTTCTAAACTTTAACTGCGATAAAAATATTATTGATATAGTTATCTGTTTATTCTTGGGTTTTCTTATCTAATCCTTTACACATAGTTGCTTATTCAAAAATAAAAATTGTTTCTCACTTGTGACTAGGAAAAGCAGGTTGTATTAACTACTGTGCTTCTTCTGGTTGGCTCAAAAGATCATCTGACAAAGCCCAATATCCCACCCTTTTCCCAGTGTGACCAGACAGCACACGTTAGGGTCAGATGACCTGAGTTCAAATTTCAGCTTAATTAGTTACTAGATATGTGAACTTAGGCAAGCTTCATAACTTCCTTATGCCTCAGTCTCCCCTTTAAAATGCTAATAATAATAGTCCTACCTCATAGGCTTATTGTGAGCATAAAATGAGCTATTGTATGTAAAGACTTTGAATAGTGCCAGACATCATAATAATACCTAGCTATGTGCTAGGTATTATTTTTCCTAAAGTTCACCATGAGTTTTTCTGGCCACATGGGTGGAAATGGGTATAATTATGATCTGTGCTTAATATTGATTTTATGCCAACAAAAGCCTACCTCACCTCAACCCCCACTTCACAATAGTCCCTAATATTCAACCTCCTAAGGAAACTGAGTATCAAACCTCCTATTCTTACCCACGGGTAAAGAAACACTGCTTCTTCTGGACTGACCACAACTCTTTCACCGTATTCAAGAAGGAAGTTTCATTCACTTATAACTGGGAAGCAGCAGTTGGACAGACACTCTGATTCAGTCACATAAATTTTCAAGTTTATGAAGTTTCTGGTGGAATCCAGACAACTATCGGCACTTGGGCAGTTTTCCTTTGATTAAATAATGGATATGACTTCCTACCAGAACCAATGCCAGAGCTCTGAGGAGAAAAGTGGTCACTCAAATAGAAGTAAAAGCCAAGACTCCTCAAAGATAAAAGAAAAAAAACTTTTTTTTTTATCTTTTAAACCTAAATATCTTTAATACATCAAAAGATAAGCAGCAGGGCAGGAGTACAAATATCCAGTTTTAGATTTAAGAGTTGAAAATATGTGGTGCAGTTCTGAGTTTTGATCAAGGAAACCAACTTGGTTCTCTCCAGAGCAGGTACCCAATTCTACCAGGACAGTTAACATATTAATGAACCAGCTCAGAGGTGTATTAAAAGAAGCATGATCTCTGCCCAAGTGGCGCAGTTGGTTGGAGAATCATCTCATACACCAAAAGGTTGCAGGTTTAATTCCTGGTCAGGGCACATACCTGGGTTTCAGGTTCAATCCCCGTTCGGTTCTCTCTCTCTCTCTCTCTCTCACTCGCTCTCATGCTCTCTCAGAATCAATAAAAACATATCCTTGGGCAGGGATTTTTTTTAAAAAAAGGAAGCATGGAATAGAATAATATTTTTGTCTGTCATATCTCATATAGAAGCTTTTATGAAAAGTAAGGAGATAATGCAAGGACAAGTAACTTTGTAAAATTATTGTGCACACATAAGGGTTGTCAATTGTTTTACAGAAGCTGTATAGAGAAATCTATAGCACTATTTCCAAAGTATTGTGATACTCCATTTTATTATTTCTAGAAAATAAATCAGCTTTCAAAATATACATGGAGATTCCAGCATGACAAAAATCAATTAATACTAGCTCTGAAGGCAGAATACAACCTCCCTGACCCCCCACCCCCAAACACATTCTGATTCTATAAAGCCCATTTTAGCCTTTGTTCTTGAAATTTGGATTTCTTTATGCATTTACACAATATAACAAACTTTTCCCCTTTCTTTAGGATTCTTCCATGATATTTTAAGTTTAGTCAAGTCTCCAATATTGGAAATTTTCTCCCACTTTTAAAAGAAAATTTTTTAACCTGTTCTAGCAAAATGTTTGCTTAGGCGATGATTGTAACTACCCAATACTTTCATTACTGGGGCTAAGGTCATTGATGTATTACTATTGTGTGAAGCAGTCCTGGAATTTGTCCTATGCTTTTTACTAATTTTGATGTGTTGTTGAGACCTTTCAATTGATGAATAAGTGTAAAGAGCACATGCATGTGTGCCTGTGGTGATGAGACAGTGTCTTTCTTCTTAAAGGCTGATTGTGCTCTATTCACCGCCTGACCCTGTGACTAAATTCTAAACACAACAGGAACGGGAGTATTAGGGACCTAAGGACCAGACAGACTAAATGTCTTGCTCAGAGTTTGCACTGCAAAGACAGAATGGAGACCAGGATGCTCACAGGTTGCACTGCCTGAAACAGCTAGTAGGCTATTCTGTGCTCTTCCTGTACAATCTTTTATACTCTACCACTCTGCCTCTTGATTAATAACTGTAGAGAGGAAGAGAGAGAGGAATAAAGAGAGAGAAATAGAGATACACATGCACACACATCTTATCCAGCCTGCCATGTCATACTTCAGTTTTCATAGCCTTAGATCCTAATGCTGAACTTTGCAAACAGAAGTTATTCAACCCCTCAGTTTTCCCTCTGTGTTCTTCAGTGTGTCATTTCTTATCCCTCTGTCAAAAAATGAGGGAGGCAATTTACATGTATTAGAATTTTTCTGAATACATATTTGGGATGAGTGAATGATGTGTGAGAGGGGATAGAAGTTGGTAGAAGGCAGAAATATATGTGGACAATCTCTCCCATCTGATTACCCATCTGGAAGAGCTAAGGGAAAGGAAGTTTTTCCCACTCTATTCCAACCAAGGATTTTTAGCAGACCAAATTAAAGCAATGGTGAGGATATCCTCATGGCTTGCTAACATATTTTCTCATTTCCTATTCTCTTCTTTTTCCCCTTTCCCTTCTTCCACCTTCACTCTTTTCAAAGCTCTAAACTGCTGTAAGCAGAGTGGTGGATAGGGACAGTTCTTCAAACCTACTTGCTGAGCCATCTTGAAAGTGCAATTAAACTTGTTGGACATTTTTTCTGCATTTATAAAATAGGAGGGTGGGTTTGACAGGAGTGGAGGATGGATACTTTGTAATCTCTACTATAAAAAAATATTGAGAGTGTCTGAGTTTCACTTTGGGTGACAGGTACTATGGGAATTAGTGAAATTATTAAAATTTTGATATCTGTCCCTAAGTGTTCTGACTCTCTCTGTTTCTCTGTTCAAGTCTCCTAAATCCCACTCCCTTCCCACTTAGCCCAGAAGAGACTTACCTCACTCCAGTTGCTCCTCTAGGTCTGTGGAAATACCCCATAGAAACTACCACCCCAGCTGCTGGCTCACCTTTGGCAGTGGGAAATCCTGGCGTGAATTCTGTGGATCTGTGTCCTGGAGGAGACTCAGAGAAGCCAAGTTTCTCTGACCATCCAGATCATAGGAGGAGGAGGTGCTTTTATCGATCCATGTTAAACCTGGACACAGCCTCTTAGGAATGCCACCGGTCTGGTTTCTCTGGCTGCTACTTCTTTTACTCCTTCCTTGGAGTTCAGTGGGCTCCTCCGGGAAGCCTTCAGGCTGATGCTCCCTTTGCCGCAGGTTTAGTCAGTCTTCAGTACTCCTCTCCCTGGTTAGTTCCCTGGCTGGAGCTTTCAGGACCACAGCCTCTGGGCAGCTCCTGCACTCTGGCTGGAGTCTCCCAGTTACAACAGTTTTGATTGCTTTCCCAGCTGACCAAGGAGGGGTGATTGTGCCCGAAGTCTAACTCCTCCCCTTCCCCAGCCGAAAGACACACCTACTTCAAAGGGCTCCTCTGGCTAGGTCCAGCGGAGTTGTTTGTTCGTTTGTTTGTTTAAATGGGGATAGAGGTTGGTAGAAGGGGAATACGGAAGGAGAGCTGCTGAAGTTGAGAGGCAAAAAGAAAGAAAGGGAAAGTGAGAGAGAGAGGACTGGAAATCTCTGTGGTTAAAAGGGTAAGAAATGGGAGTGGAGCAATGTGAGCAGACGGGAAAAGCGAATTGGAAGAGACTTGCAGAGAGAGCTAAGAAGGGGGAATAAAAATGCTGGCCCACATCTGAAGAGTCAAAAAGTGAGAAGATATGTACCCAGAAAACAGCATCGTTGACCTTACACATATGGAGCAGTGTCTTTGTATATAAAACTTCATAATTCTAAAAGTAGAAGGAAGAAATACCTATTCTCATTTAAAACCCTTTTATTTTATTTAGTGAACATAGACAAAGCCATATCTATATGCATTGTACTAGTCTTTCAACTTTTCTGTTTGTTTAAAATTTATAAAAACAAAAGGCAAATGAAATCTTTTGTTTTAAGAATGCTTAGCTGCTCAAATTACAAACGGGCATCTGCCATTGTTTTTCAAAAATATATTGTTAAGCATTCAGGTAGAAAAAGTCCTCCTAAGTGGTAATGAAGTTGAAATAAAAAAAGGGTCACATCATTCCCCAACTTCTTGTCATATTAGGAAGTAAGAGTAAGTTACTAGAAGAGAAAAGGAAAATTACATCTGGAAACATTTAACGGAAATAAATGGATATGCTTATGACAGAGAGCTGTGGACCAAGCTACCAAGTCAAAGGGTGGTGTCTTTGTTTTAGAGACTGTCAAATTTGGACTACTACTTTATGTAAAGCTTGACCAAGATCAAACAAATAGTTGTGAATTCATTTTTAGAAGTAAAGGATTTTATCTTCCAGTGATTTCAAGGAAGAAAGGAAAGTATGCTTGGATTAAGCAAGTTGCTGAATGATCTTCAGTAATTCACTTCTGGCATCAATTTTCACATCTGTGGAATTACCTGATTACTTAGTTGTTTTCTTATTCCTCACCCGTTGATATTTTTTCCATTGATGTTTAGACAGAGTGGAAAGGAGGGAGAGAGAGAAAGAGAGAGAAACATCGATGTGAGAGAGACACACCAATTGGTTGCCGCCTGCACAAACCCCATCCAAGGCTTCAGATCTAACCTGCAACCCAGGTATATGCCCTTGACTGGAAATCGAACCCGAGACAATTCAGTGCTAGGGCCGATGCTCTAACCACTGAGAAATACCAGCCAAGACTTAAGTTTTTTCCATAAGAAGCATGATAGAATTCTGAGTCCAAACTCAACCTCTTTTAAAATTGACTTGAAGGAAATACTCCAGGCTTTTTGAAAGTCACTTGCTCAACCAACGTAACTGGCATGTGTGCATAATAGAGGTGAAAAGCTGTAAATTTGCCTTGTGTGTAACAAAAGGTACAGAAGGTTAAAACAAAAAATCATTTTACTGCCAATAAAGCTAAAAGAAATACCTCAGGTTTGAAATAGTTGATTTTTTATAAAATATTCTGATAGAGGTGTCATATGACTCTTGTCCTTCACCGAAAACAAGAAAATAAAATTAACACTGCTTTTAACTTTTCTTAGGGAGGTGTTCATCTTCAGCAAATCGTTAAACTCTTACTAACCTTTGTTTGTGTCCCTATCCAGGAAATATATGCTCATCAAAATAAACTTTATGTTCAGAGTAATTAAGTAACATGTACTGGGAATGGTGGATTTCTGAAAACCAAATTAGAATTCACTCTTCAGCCAGAGAAAATTTATCTGTGGAGTAATTCATGTTTGGGATAGAACTGCAATGAGCACATACAGAATGGATTGATGCCCTGCTCTGTGTCTTCAAAATCACCTCCATTGATATTTGAGAATTGATGTTGTCGGTATTCTGCCTGTTGAGATGTTCAGAGGGCCAGAAAGAGTAGCGGATTAGCAGAAAGGTGAACATATTGGGACAAAGATAAGGGTAAGGACAGAACATTCTGTGGGGCCCTTTGCCTTCTCTGACAGATGTAAGGGACTGGACACAACAGGATTAGCTCTCAAAACACATCCAATTGTGTGTGTGTGTGTGTGTGTGTGTGTGTGTGCGCGCGCGCGCTCAGGCACGCGCCTGCGTGTGTAGCCTTGGGAGGGAGTTGAGGAAGACATTGAATTTTCTTAAAGAGCTACCTTTTGGAGAGGGAGGGATGGAACCTATTTCATCACAGCTCCTCACCACTACACGGCTGACTATTCAAGTCTGAGAGCAGGACGGGCTGGAGGAGTGTGTGCACCAGCAGAGGAAAGGGGGCGGGTCTGAATGCAGGGCATTTTCTTCATTCTCCTCCCCCCCCCCCCATGGTTCCTGGGCCAGAGGGCCAATCTCTAGCCCTTCCTTCTTTCTCTGCAGCTTTTTGTAAAGCTCTGAGCTAACCTGTTAGAACCATCTGCTGGGTGGAGAAAATGTAACCGGCGCTTAGTTGCCCGCCCATAGCCCGGGAGCCATTGAAGCAGAGAGAAGGGAGGCAACAGGCAGATTTATGGGCAACAATCTGTTTCCCACCCCCCAGGCCCCTCTGCCGGGAGACAGCTTGATAATCCATCAACCCCACTAATGAATTAATTAGTATTCCCAGTAATCCCGGCCCCCAAAGGAAACAGGCCTGTGGGCCCCTAAGGGGGCCAGAAACTGCCTTCTTCGACCAGACACTGAAGACCTGGGACCGATGCCTGACATTAGGCCCCAGGGTGCTAAGCTGCAAGCCACAGACCCTGTTAACGATCCCCAGATGTCCCTCCTCGCCTTCCCTGGGGAGACAGCTAGCTTTTGCTGAATTAAAACCAATACCACCAACAAATGGCGTCCAGAGCGTAAATCAGGGACTATGGAACGGAGGGCTGTGAACTTCCAGAAAGTGAGGATTCGAATTGCCCATGTGCAGGATAAACTTGAGCAGATTCTAAAGCTTTCTCCAAGGGTTACTATGAGGTTGGGGTGGGGTATGAATGGGGCAGAAGTTAAAGGATGCACAGTCCATGACCTCTAGAATCTCAATGCTCCAGTAGGGAAATGATGCAGGGTCAAAAATCATCATGAAACAGGTTAAAACAAAGTGGTTTGTGACACAAATATGTCCTGAACAAAGACTGGAGTAAAACAGAGTTGTCAGCTGGGTTTATGAACAGCCTGAAAGCTGGCATCTGGGAAATTCAATAACCCTCCCTTACAACCACAGTCTCCAATCTCTTACAAAACTTTGAGATGCAGTTGAGAGAAAAAAGTTTAGGAGTAAGAGAACCTGTATTCCAAACCCTAGTCTGCCTCTGACTGTGTGGCCATGATAAGTGATCTAAGCTGTCTCACATCATCAGTCAATGATCAGGTTAGATTATCATCTCTCCGATTCCTCTGGCTCTAACGTTCAGTTATGATGACATAGTCAAGGAAGGCAGTTTCTGACCCCCTTAGGGGCCCTTTTTGAGACTGAGTAACACTAGCCCATTCAAAAGTATGCCATCTGAGTCCCCCAGCTTCAATAGGAAACTAACCAGGTTAGTGACAAAAGTGGGTCTAGAAATCAGTAGTAGACTTGAGTATCTTCTCTCCCAGATTTCTGGTCTCTTTTGAGAAGAGTTCTTGACTTAACCTTCTTCCACCTCCCTTATTCAAGGCCTAAGCATTTGGGCATTCACAGGGCATACAGAGTGACTCATTCCATCTACCAAAAACTACCTGCACTTGTGGAACATCTGTTGAGAAACTTCTGCACCTTTGAGAGCTCTGCACCAACTGCCTCCAGCATCCTTCTCTGTGCTTAGTATCCCCAGTTTCTAACAGCAGAGTTATCTAAGATTCAAGTAAATCCTAAAATAACTTCACACAAGTTATTTATCTCTCTGAGCCTCAATTTCTTCATCTGCAAATTGAAGGCAACAAACTCACTCTGAGGAATATATTAAACTTGCTCTGAGGAGTACATATCTCATTAAATATGAGATCATGTAAGTAAAGTGTCTAGTATAGATTATGGCTTTTAACAAAGGCTCAATAAATGGTAGTTATTATTGGTATTTTGTCTTAAACATTTACATCTGATTTTTCATCCTTAAGAAATCAAGAAAAATATCAGGATTTCCTTATAGCAGTCCTATCTGTTTCTCAATACAAGTATTTCTCTTTTATAGTAATGACCACACTGTATTCATTTACCCAACAAATGTGTCCAATGTATATATACAGCCTTGGGCATTGCAAGACTCTGGGAATACAGAGCTAATTGAGATTTCTCATTCCTAATCAACTTTTAGTATAGTGGCAGAGGTAGAAAACCAATTATATAAATATATAATTCAAAAAACGTCACTTCTCCATGTCCTCTTAACATAGTTTCATGTGTTAAAGGAGCCTTGTATGAAGCAGAGATGTTCATTGCAGTATTGTAACTAATGGTCTAGCAGCTAAATAGAATACTACTTAATTTGCAGTGAGTTAGTCTATACATACTAATAAGAAATGTACTTTAGCCCTGGCTGGGTGGCTCAGTTGGTTGAAGCATCATCCGTACACCAAAAAGTTTCAGGTTTGATTCCCAGTCAAGGCACATACCTAGGTTTTGTGTTTGATCCCTGGTTGGGGCACATATGGGAGGCAACCAATTGATGTTTCTCTCTCACATCGATGTTTCTCTTTCTCTCTCTCTCTCTCCCTCTCTCTCCCCCTTCTTCTTTCTCTATAATCAATAAAAACATATCCTCAGATGAGGATTAAAAAATAAAAATTAAATAATGAAATGTACTTTATGTATTAACATACTGTAGGGAGAAATGTAAAACAATTTTTAGAAATATAGG